CCCAGCAGCTTCTACTGAAGCCTTCCGAGTAAATCGCCAGAACGCCGACACCTCCTCATCTCCACCGCTCCCATGTTTTATTTTGTGTTGCCATAAGTTAGTCTCTCTGCGTTTGTGCACTGGGCGAATGCTAATGCTAATAATGCTAATGCCAGGATAATAAAATGGCGGCTCTCCAAAACATTTCAGAGTTGTACGGGGCGTGGTTTGCAATTCGCCCAGCCAATCAGAACTGGGGCACTTTTTTCCCCCAGGAAAGTACCATCTCTCAGCAGGCACTAAAAATGGGGGTAAAAGTTCCCGGGATTAAGTGCTCTTTTTGGTGTGAACGCGACATAAGGGGTACTAACGGAACTAAACGCGAAAAGTACGGTGAAAAGTACTCCGGTGTGAACGCGGCTAATGGGGAAAAGTCCTTCTGGGCCCAGTGACGTCACGGATTGATACGGAAGTTGTAGTACTGCAAACAACGAATATTTTCATCAGAGTCCGGCGCACTTCCTGGGGGCTTGGTGGGGAGACTGTGATAACACAGACCATTTACATGCACACAATCTATACAACACACTAAAGGAAAGGGAAAACCCAAGAAAGCATAATAGGGCTTGTTTAAGTAAATATCTCTGGGTTTGAACTGTCGAAATAAGATGGTTTTATTAATACAACTTGGATTTTGTGAAATAGGAAATGACATGTTATCAACCAAATGATAAATCTATATTAATAATGAAAATAGCCATACATTGCTTCTCTATTTGCTTACAAAAAAGACAGCACTAGCGTTTTGGAATAGTCCAGCCTCTACACTGAGATCTTGCTCCTCTGATGGTTAGCAAACAGCAGAATTGTGCAGAGCAGCCAACATTTGGCAAGCAGAGGACCGTTTACAGCCAGGATACTGCTGTCGCTCTCCGCAGGTCCAAACTCCACTCTGTCCACTCCTGCTCTCATTGATCATCTGTCTCAGTACAGCTCAAAACGCAATTTAACTGACACATCCATAGATTTGAGCTTCTATTGCCACATGAAGAAGATTCATAGATGTCTTGACAGCCTATATAATAACCAAGGTGAAACGCAAAGTCATTGAGACCATAAAAAGATTAAATTGCCGTCTAACGCTTAATCCATTCCTTTCCTTTCCTACGTTCGGTTCGCCTGTCCTTTCTTGTATAACCTCAACCCTGAAAGGCATCATCTAGTAATATACATCTTTCTTTTCAGGACACACTAAGTTATCAGTAAATGTAGGCTACAAGGATGTTACATTATTGTATAAATAGTAATAAAGACGGAATTTGAATTTGACAGAAAAGAATTCACACAGAGAACATTACGGCTTGAGACTTCATCTGACAACTAAGATTGTCCTGTACTAAGACCTTGTTATGCTTCTTAGTACAATTCGTAATACAATTTTTCTTATTCAGTAGATTTAATCACCAAAGGAACATACAACATCTTGTGTTTACCACAGATGTGCTCATGGGATTTGTTGGAAATAAACCATGTAGCTTTAATAATGACTAATCAACTAAATAAGTCTAATCAACGAGGACGAGGCAGCCCTTCTGACAAAATGAACACAATGTTCTTATGTTTGATCAGCTTAATTGATGAAAAAACTAAAGTGATAACAGAGATTTGATGACATCTTGAAATTAAAGAAACCAAGCTTCTCTCTGCAGGGATAAATCATCGTTTTGGAAAAGCTGCTACTTCAAAATATGGTCATCCATCATCCATGGGTGTGGTGAATGAGAAGATTCATGGTAAAAAAAACAGGCAATTCAATAGATATTTCAAGATTCTTATGCCTAGTATCTCACATCCAAATCCAGTTGTATCTCTAATTCAGTTTCCAGTACTCCACATTACTCTCAAAAAGTCCCTTTAAGTTACTATTGAGCTTCTTTTTTTCCTCTTAATTTGAAATGGTTTTTCTGCAAATTAAGGCTTGGGTTTGGTTTTAAGCTTTCTGCATAAACCTAATCCTACAAAATCCTGTCCAAGCGCAGTGACAGCCAGCAGCACCAGCAGCACCAACACGACTGAAACACCACTGAAACACTATAGAAACACTATGGAAACACTATAGAAACACCACAGAAACACCACAGAATCATTACAGTGCATGATAGGTAACCAAGGCTGTTTGAACCACAACTGTCACAAGCTTTCTGTATTTATTTTTTAACTCTTTGACACATACAGAAGTTAATGTCGGCAGCAGTTAAGACTAGGGCTGAACGATTAATCGATTTTAAATCGAAATTAGAAATGATGCGATTATCAAATCGCAAAGCCTGCAATTTTTAAAAAGAAAATTTTTTCTTGTGTGTCAGTCATCCACACCAATCAGAAGTGCTGTGCTCCACATGTACCAGCCATTGGTGCCCTTTCCAAATGGCTTCCAATGGAGCTTTCCTAGATGGTTTGGTGAAACAAACCATCTGAGTCAGGTTAGTAATGCTCCATCACATGTTCTATTACAGGGTGAATCTTAAACTGAAGCTTGACTTTAAAGCAACCCCATGGAAGTTTCATGTAAGTGTAGTTCTTTCACTCGTAGCTCGGGCTGCGGGGGTGCTAGAGACGGGAGCACGTTGATGCGACCTTCCTAGCCGGAGATATGGCCGCATTTTACAATAAACTTCCGTTGGGTCGTTTAAAAACAAATATCGCAAATCGAATCGCAATATCTGTCAGAAAAATCGCAATTCGATTATTTCCCCAAATCGTGCAGCCCTAGTTAAGACACATAAACCCGGATGACACAAGCTGTTGCAACATGGTATACAGTGATGGTGCTACTAAGCTCCTTTTTTCCAAGTCAAGTCATACTGCAGATTTGTCAGTCTAAAATGAAAAAAGAGCAGTGTTAAGTGGACAAGACAAGACACAGGAGTTCTGCTGTTTAACCTGCATACACATCTTGTCAATAATACAAAGTGAATCATTCCTCCTCTATCAGGAAGACTTCTGAAGTATTTTGAACATTGGAAAACGTGTCTAAATACACACATTGTTACTCAATGTTATGTCAGAGTGTTATGCTTCACAAGGTAGTGACCTGTTCACAAATAACAATCCTACTCTTTGCATAGTGACAGATTCCCATGACTTAAAAACAACATTTCTGCTGGACTGGGTCATTTCCCTATACAAATCACGAGCAGTTTCGCCAGCACTCTCAGCGGGATAATAGTTTCACTGTGGTAGTAGTAGGTGCGTGCCGTTCAGAACACACAGTTTACCACATCCTCATTAAAGGCTAATTTAAGATTTAACGAGTCGGATTACCAAAAAGAGCAATTTACTACTTGTGATTTCTAAGGCTGCAGAAAAAGTCAGCCTGCTAAACACAAAGCAGTCACTCCAACTCAACCCCCCGCTTACTATCCTCCAGCCCTCCTACACTGTTCTTCACAGCCAGACGACCAAAAGCTGACGAAACATAAAGCATGCCAAAAAGTCTTAGCTCAATCTCCCTCTCTGCATGTGTGCCTGTGAAGACAATGCAACAGAAGAGCTGCCAGCAGGCAAACTGTCAACAGAACAATAGAGCCGAGTGAGAGCATCACTACAGCGGTCTGCTCAAGAGGAACGTTATTACATCGAGAGGACACCTAGGAAGAGTGGCTGTCTGCCCTGCAGTGCATCTGTCTCAGCTTCTGTAACAACATCACAAGTTAGACTTTGATGAAAGCTTTCATACTGCAATCACTACGACCACAGTGTCAACACAGGGTTATCGTACTTGAACATCCGATAAAGGAGAATGAAAAATAATCAAATCAGATAGAACTCCATGTGGAAATGAGCTATTTTAGCAAAACATAATTGATATACAGCAATGACAATGTGAGAGTTTAATATGCTACTGTCCCAAAAAACAGCTTATCAATGTGGACATCTCCTTACAGCAACTGTGCCATAGGATGCAATAATACACTTATTGAAATATGCATTGTTAAAACACTTAATATTATGGTAGAGTCTGTCAACATGTAGTCCCTACTATGATCAAAATAAGGCCTGCAGGTCACTAGACCAACCTTACGACTGACTGTAATTGAGCCAGCTTATCCAGTGACAACCAACAAGTGTGGTGTAACAAACAGTGGTGTCAAGTACTGTACTTAAGTACCATTTTGATAGACTTGCAGTTAACTTAATATTTAAATATGTTGCTATTTTGTACTTCTACCCCATTACAAATCCGAGGTAAAAGGTGCTCTTTTACTCCACTACATTTATTTAGTTACTTTGCGCATTTGGATTAATTATGTGAAATATAATCAACACTTAAATAAATGCAGTAAATGTACAAGCTACTCTGCAGCATACCAATGAATTAAACCTAGCTGCACCTTTACCACCTTTGATAACACTAATGCATCAATGTGTATAATCAAAACATATCATATATATTATGCTGAAATGGACCAATCTGCAGAATTAGTTAGTTAGTTTTACTTTTGGTACTTTAAGTATATGCTGATGCTTATACTTTAGTAGTTCTACTTGAGGAACATTTTGGATGCAGGACTTTTACTTGTAACAGAGTATTCCTACACTGTAGTATTTTTACTTTTAATTAAAACATTACCTAAGTACTTCTCTCATCTCTGATCACAAACAACAAACAAAACTGCTTACTTATAAGCAAAATACTTATTTTTAAAGCACCAACCACTAGCTGGTTCCCTAACTAGCAAACAGCTAGCATAACGTCCTGGTAAAATGTGAAAGTAGGATCTCTGATATTTTTTAAGTACATTATTATATAACATTAACAGATCCTGAACAAGTACGCTTCCACTTACTTTAATAGTGTATAACTGTGGTATTGCAAAAGGTCAATACACCCGCCATTAGCTACCGAGCCTGCTAGCTGGATAGCACAACTTACCTGCATAATAACATGACAGCGCTGGCTAGCAAGCTAACAAGCTAACAATGTAGAAAACAACGTATTTTTTGTGTAGCATCCTCACCTTAGCAGCGTTAATATCCACAGACAGCCTCCTTGACTTGCAAAACAGTCGATGACAAGTGCTGTTTTTCCTTTTTGTGCCACCAGTTGGTCTGATGAAATGCAGGAGTTAACTATCCGTGAAGCTAAAGCTAAGCTAGTGACGACATTAGCCAACAGCTACTTTCTATTATCAACCTTGTCTAGTGATTATGCTATTGTGTGTGTGTGTGTCTGCCTGTCAGTCCTCTGAGCAAAGTCTAGCTGCCTTGTTAGGACTCCGAGCAGTCCCTCTGCCACTATCTATTTAGAAGTGACACAAGCCTTTACGGTATGTTCTCGGGGATACCAAAATAATCAGTGTCAAAACGGCAGCAGCAGCAGCAGCAGGAGGAAGGCCATCTTGTTGACAAGCAGCTGCATAAGGCCCGCAGCCAATAGCAGAGCAGAGTCGGTGGTATGCCCATATATGGCGTCCGCACAGTGCCCTCCCTCTGCTGCACACACACACACACACACACACACACACACACACACACACACACACACACACACACACACACACACACACACACACACACACACACACACACACACACACACACACACACACACACACACACACACACACACATTACCACAGTGGAATAAAACATCATAAGGTCACTGTCAAAGACAGGTGTGGAAATCCATTTAAACAGCCATTAGGCACTTCATGGTACACAGTCATAAGTCATGGATAAGTCATGGATGAACTACTGAACTGCAAAGCAAGCAAGCCCATACACACATTTAGAAATAGAGAAAGCAATACAAAAATTAATATTAATGCAGTTCTTAATTAAAAAAGAAAGTCTAACAATTAGATTTTCATCTCTGATTTTGAATGTGGAATTTCCCGAATAATAAACTTACTAACTAAAGAAAGATATGTTTGTATATCTCATTACCTTCCAAAAAATATATACAATCCTGAAAAATAGTTTTGCACAATTTCACTTATTATAGTTCTATAGCATACAAAGTAATACAATAAATGACTTGATGAATGAATTTCATAAATGTTCACCTGCACAATGTCACTTGAAGGGAATCATCAAGACCGGAAAGAGATATTTAATCTTAACCATAAGTGACACAACATGACAACAAAGAGATGCAAAGCGACTGCAAAAACACACAAAGCACACAGTTATTAAATAGATTCAAATTAACTAAAAGATATGTTATGCATATATATATATACAAGAACAGGACTGTCAATTGTTATTAGAAATGTTAACATCCATCCGACATGGGAACATTTCAATATTTAAACAATTATGACCTGTTCAAATTCTATATGTGCAGTCTAGTGCCTCGCAATTGCTGAGCAGTCCAGTTTTGCCCCCTGGTGGGTTAATCCATTTGTGACTGCAATTGAAATCTTGAATGTCCTTTTGTGGAAGTCTTCTCTCTGTTTGCCTCAGCACATCCTGAAATATTGTGTCAAATTAGGTCAAACCATTTTTTGAATCATGCTATATTTAGTCTTTTGCACATGGCAGTGGCTCAGTCAGTATAGGGGCTTGGACTGGGAGCTGTAGGGTCGATGGTTCAAGGCCCCCGACCAGACCTAAAATATGGATTGTGGACTGATACTTGGAGAGGTCCCAGTTCACCTCCTGCCCTGCTGTGGTGCCCTTGAGCAAGGCACCGGACACCCCTCACTCCCATTGCTCCCCGGGCGCTGTACAATAGCTGCCCACTGCTCCTAGTACTAGACTCCTGGTACTAGGATGGGTTACAAGCAGAGAACACATTTCACTGTGTGTGCTGTGTGCTCTGCATGTGTGACCATTAAAGAGGGTTTCATCCCTCCCAATTCTATCAATTCTATCAATTCTATCTATGGGACTACTTTGTTTTTTAAACATTCAATCCTATTTTTGGAGGAAAAAAAACAGTAGTCCCATGTGCCTAAAGACAACATACAATATGATAGATAGCGAGAAAGGAGTTCAGTCAAGGTTATGGTATCTATTAACTCATAACAAGATACATATTTAAAGATACTTACTCAGTGTTAAAAGAAAATGTATATGGAAGACATTTAATCATCACGATGTAAAAAAATGGAGAAAGTTAAGTTAGAACTGGAGAAAGCCAAATCATACGTATTTTAATACAACGGCATGTGCATGCGTAACATTGATTTGACACTGTAACCCCCTTACACCCCCCACCCCTCATGTCATTGTCCTGTTATATTGTAATGTGCGTGACTGAGCATTGTCCTTGTCCTATGTCTTTGAAACATGTTATAGTGGTGTATAAACAGAATGTACAAATATGTGTGTTTATATGGTTTTTATTAAGTAACCTTCAAAATGTTATGTTTTTCATAGGTATTGGTACCACATATCTGGTTTGTGTGTATGTTATTGTTCAAATTACTTATTTTATATATTGTCCTTTTGTCAATAATAAAAAAAACAATCTGTACAGTATGGTAGCAGTGCCTCCTTGAGCACGTGGAGTCATCGGTGACACCCTTTACTCATTAGAAGATGTTCCATTTAAATCCCGCCTTATGTTCGCTCTGATTGGCCCGATATTGCTGATGTAGATGTCAATCATGAATACTCTGGTCTCCTATTGGTCAAATGATTATGCCCCTCCTTTCTTTACATCTGAGCTCCGCCTTCTTACTGAAACTAGCACTGTGGTTGGTTAACGGTCATGTCAGTCAAATTTGAACTTCCGGGTGGATAGTCGTTGCAAAACAGAGCAGTTGTGCAGTCACCGAGCTGAACCTGGATAAAGTACCTGCAGGAAAAGTGAGTTGTTTAAATTGTCAACAGGAGAATGTTTGATTAAATAAAGTGTTTTAATGTGGAATAATAAACCCTGTGTTGCGAATTGTTTGGACTTTGTAATGCTTCATTCATCTGACGTAACACAATATTGTTGACACTATGTAACAGCAGCTAGCTAACACGCTAATTAAACGTAGCCAATAGCATGTTACTACTGTCTTTAATTCTGCAAATGCGTTGTTAAATTGTATTTATAAGACTGCAGGTCACTGTTGCAACGTTACTTAAGTGCGACACGTGTTGGTGAGGCATGTCTTCATACACCCAAGGTTAAACAAATCTGGCAAGGTGAAGACAATTACAAATGTCGGACCTAAATATCTACATCGGTCTGTCATGTTTTGAAATGCATACATGGACAAATGTGCTTGTTCTAGTTAAATATTGCACATTTGCTGCGTTTCTTTTGCAACTTGGGGGGGCGTGTCTGGTACTTTGTGTGCTGTATTCTCAACGAAGATCCAAGATGTATTGTCATATGCACAGAAGCTACAGTTTAGCTATGGCAATGCACATCTTAAGTCCCAGGCTCCTCCAACAATGCAGCGTAAATATATATATATATATATAAGATATACAACACATAGTAACAGTAGAAATAAAATAGTGCATGATTATGTTGCAAGGGATGCAGGAGAAGTGAAAGATAGACATGTCAAATAAAAAACCAAAAAGCTAAATAATGCAGAGAACGTTGCAAGCGATCAAGTAGATGCAGAAGTCTATATACAGGTAAATAGAATAAGATAAACAAGACCAGAAAGTAAAATGGAATACTGTACAGTGGTATAAATACTGCTTATTGTAGAAATAAAAACCCTGCTATAATAATAATAATAATAATAATAATAATACATTTCATTTATATAGCACACTTTAAAAACAATGTAATCTCAAGGTGCTTCACACTGCTATGAGCTGAAAATAATAAAACATACAATAAAATGTTATCTAAGGTGCATATTGAATAACATATGGATATAGAGCATGCACTTTAATGTCTGTCTAACCATCTTAGCGTACATAACTTGACTCCCTCCTCTCTCTCCACCTCTCTGTCTGTAGTGATGCTATCCGAAGTGCTGCAGGTGCTGCGTGGGGCCGGTAAAGTGGGGTCTGCGCTGGTCGCCACTCAGGGGGAACAGCTGCGGTTGATGGCCTGCACCTCCTCCATGGGAGCGGGGGTCAAGGCTGCTCAGGATGTGGTGGAAGGACTGGTGGGCACCTTTATGGGCGGCAGTGCGGTAAGGATTCCTGCAAAGACCCTGAATGCATCACTTTGGGTTCTGGGAACTTGTGATGGGAATTACAAAAATGACCTGTTTTTTAAATGTTTAAAAATCTCACAGAAAAATAACCAGTTTTAGTCTGATCCTTATGTACATTATTCAAGATGCAAGGCTTTTATTGTCATTTGAACAGAGCTACAGTGTAGATATGTCAATGAAAATCTTAGATCACAGGCTCCTCCAACAGTGCAACACAATAAAACAGACAGAATAGTTAAAATAGTGCAAGGAGAGTCTATATACAAGTAATTGTATGGAGGCGTGTGGCGCAGTGGATAGAGCCTTGGTGTTGGGATCAGGGGGTCACAGGTTCAAACCCCACTGCAGTCAGCATGTCGTTGTGTCCCTGAGACACTTCACCCCAAATTGCTCCGGTGGGGATTGTCCACAGTATTGAGTATGTAAGTCGCTTTGGATAAAAGCGTCTAACAAGTAATATGTAATGTAATTGGAATATGATATATTAGATAAATAATTAGTAAGTTGCAAACAGATGAATGTTTACTTTATAGTAATTATTTTGCTAACTGACTTTAATAACTCTACTTTTTCTGTAGCCAAAGCCAATAACTGAGGACGTGTTTCCGGACGCTGAGGGTTGGGAGACTGTGGATCCCGATGAAACAGCCAAATGGTCCATGGGGTCCGAGTTTCCCCCTGACGCTGCGGAGCAAAGCCAATCAGAAGCTGGAGCTGCAGCAGAGATGCCAACAGGTACTAACAATAACAATAATAACAATAATAATAATAATTGTGGCGGCTATATTCCCATTGAATACAGCCGCTCTGAGGCTAAACTTCGCTCATTGATGTGACGCATATACATAATAAGTCTGTACTGAACTCGACGTTTTAAGGATATTTAATATTGTAAATCAAAACAATTAACAAACAGAATCATACGGTCAACTAAATATATCAGAGCTAAGCTCACCCCCATTGTCATGCTACCAAACCTCCACATACACCAGGTGCCCTAAATACCATTAACCACACCCATGTGACAATTACCGGAAACAACCCATTACAAGTGTGTGTGGTTTTAACAAATAATGAAGATAATATAACTATAAACACAGGCTACCACAGCATTTTGGCTCCTACAATAATAATAGATTACATTTGTATAGTGCATACAAACATTTGTATATCTATCTATCTATTACATTACATGTCATTTGTTAGACGCTTTTATCCAAAGCGACTTGTATACATTCAGTACTGTGGACAATCCCCACAGGAGCAATTTGGGGTGAAGTGTCTTGCCCAGGGA